CAGAAACAGGTTGTTCTATTTTTTCTGTAAAGAAACATTTTGTGTTATAGAATACTAGGAAAAAAGTAGGTTTCTCATGGGGCAAGGATTTTTTCCTCTACTTTAAAAAAGGATTAAAATCACAAACATAAAGGTTACATAAGTGACACTGCATTTGTTAGATATTTTTAACATGCAATTCAAGTAAGAATGATTTTGTGATTCTCCTTTCAGCACACATGGCATTCTGTACTATTTAATTTTTGCCATAAAATATTTTTATGATTTCTGTGTTGTAACCGAGTGAGATTTATTCTGTGTACTATGTTATTTTCTATGACTTTGTCATTAAAAACAGGGTAGTATAACTATAATGCCTCTTGAGGAAAAAAGGCAAAAAAGAAAGGAACCTATTTTTTGGAACTCTGCTGAGTGTTGAAAGGACATCTTGAAATCCTATGAGTACCAAAACAATAGCATTCAGAACCATGTCTTTAGAAATACCATAAAATCTTTTTATTTTCTCATGATAGAACACTAGACGTTCCAAATATATTTCAAAATCTCTCCTTTGGAACATAATACAACTAAAAAAAGTGAGTAATTAGCATTCCTATTCCCACGTTGTCTGTCTCCTTCCCCTACCCCTGCTACATCACCATCTTAACTTGGCAAGACTCTTTGTTTACCATTCATGAACATCTTTTTCCCTTCCTGTTTTTCCTTTTGAATTATTTATCATTTAATTATGAAAAATACAATGGTATGCACAAGAATGTTCTCTTTATTTTAACTTCTATGCCCTTGCCATATGCAAACAAATTATGTGATTATTTACTTTTAAAATCAATTCACTAGAAATGCATTGAAGGTCTACCATGTGCCAGAAACTTGCTAGAAGGCTGACAGGGTTTGGCAGTGAGTGTGGACATGGGGGGTTATATAAATGCATGAGACACACACTTGCTCAGCTGGGTGTCTGCTTAAGATTTTCTCCATCTCCCTTGCCCCTCCCCCTAAAATGAATAAATCTTAAAAAAAATCCCTTTTACTTTGAGAGCTGTATGTTATTGTAAGCTACTCTCAAGCTAAATGGTGTATGTTACCTCTTCTTAAAACCCTATGAAAATGGTTTTTTTGGTCTCATTTTGTAATTGATGCTATCAAAGAAAGAAGGATAAGAGAGGAAAGATCTATAGACAGACCATGATTAACAAATAAAAAAACATCGCTCACCAAAACAAAACAAACACAGAATCTCAGGTTAGATTTGGCTAAATCAGATGGCAGAGATATTGTTGGATTTACATGGAAGGACACTGGCAGATTCTGAACTCCGTGTTGAAAGGATAAGTATTGGGCATACCAGTAAGGTGCTACATGCCTTACTGCCTATTTCCATAAAATTTATAACAAACTTGTGTGGTAAAGATCAGTTGCCCCATCTTGGAATGAGTGAGAATGTTTGGAGTTTTCATCTGCCCAAGACCACACTGTCAGTCAGTGACCAGCCAGGTCAGAGGCCAAAGTACAGAGTCCTTCCCCTGTACTAGGTCTTCCCCAACTGCTCCATTCTTTCTATGGACAACATCCTGAAATTAAAGACCAATGTATGTGTGGAACAAAACTGTACAGCTCTGTTTGGTTATAAATTTGGAAAAGGAGGAAGTATATGTCTAACTAAACCAATAATTTCACATTGTTTTTCAAGTCCAGTTAAATGCAATAACTTGCTTTTTCACTGTGTTATAAAAAAATAGAAGTTCTCATTCCTTTTGTACTAATATAAAATTTCTTGGAATTTTTAGAATATGCATTTTTAGAATATAATATTTCTTAAAACATTATATTCGGTATCCATTATAATAATTTCATTCTGAAGAATTTTTAATACAAATGTAGAGTAGAGATTATGAACATATTTGAATTGATAGGTAAATATCAGATATCATTTCTTTATTCCACATTACTGTGAGCACATTTGTTAAAACTGAGTTATATTTTATGTGTGGTTTTATTATTTATGATTGTTTTGAATCCCTAGTATCAAATTTATTTCAACAGACATAATATGCATGTCTTTCTTTAGAGCTTAATGTGATCTTTCCAAATACAACTGAGGTTTCCGGAACATGCAGCTCGGTGTTTATATGCCAGACAATGCTTATCTTCCTCGTTGCCCACATCACTGAGACATACCAGGCACCCCTAAAAGGGATTTTAGAATATTACATACCCTTTGAAACACCAAGAATAGCAATGCTATGTTGGACTGAGCTGGCCTGAAGATTTGTACTGCATAGTAACAATGTTTGTCATTCTGAGGCTTATTAGCACATGGGGTCCTGCCACCTGACCACTTAAGACTTAGGGAGAGTAAATAGCATTCCTTTGCTTGACGGTAAGCAACCCACTTCATTCCAACACACACGCGCGCGCACACACACACACACACACACACACACACACACCCACACACGTTATCTGACTTTATTTCCAGGCTTTTGTTATTTTGAATCTCTTTCCTTGAGGTAGACTTCTATAACTAACTGATGTACTTTATATGATACAGGTTTTTGGAATGAGGGCGTTGAGGTTTCTGAATCCCATGCTTAGATGACCATTTAGTTAGTCTCTTAAGTCTCTCATCTGTGTAATGGGCATCAAAACACTTACCCTGTATGATTATTTTGTTTTCAAGTTTAAGTCAGAAATAAATGCTTAAAAAAATCCTGACATCCTTTCTTAAATATTAATCTTCCTCTCGTTATCTTTTCTGTAGATACGTTATAAGGATCCAATGAACTAACATGATGTATAGTGACAGGGCAAGAGCATAGAATATGAGTCAGAACCAGGCTCAAATATTGGCTCTGCCACTTAGCTGCATGGCTCAGGGGTGTTATTTAATTTATTCAAATAGTTTCTTAATTTTTAAAATGGAATAATAACTCCTATTTCATGCAGTTGTGCATATAATGTGAAATGTATATAAATTGCTCTTTGGGGACCTGATGTTCAACTGCACATTACTAAGGTCTTACTAAAATACTCCAGCCCAGTTATCTGTGGTCTCACCTCCATTCAGCATCTTCCAAGATGTCTTCTAAACTAGATTTTAAGTATTTGATGTTCAGGGACCAGATTTGACTTCCTATCGAACTTTGTAGAATCACCTAGAATAGTGCCAAGTGCATTATTCCAAAGCTTGTCTAATTTCAGGCCAGTAGAATAAATGCCCGAGATTTTTGGCCTACCCACCTGTCAGTGTTGGGATGGTCAGCATCTTGGGATTGCAACAAGTTTGGGTAAATCTTTACTTGTAATGGGACCTGAATCAAATTCATAGGCTTTCCAAGTATAATACCACAGTGACTGTATTATATGACTAGAATTCTATGAAGGGTTCTGTACTTTGCTCACATTTCTATAGTAATCATTAATTTATTTTGTACCCAGGCCATATCTACTATATTGATTTAAAAAATGGGTGTGTGGGCTGCCATTGATGTTATACAATACAACCTGCTACTTAGAAACATACTATAATATATACTGTGTGCTGTCTAACATCTCTCTAATGAGCACATAGTATTTGTTATACTGTATAATCTCATTATGATTAGTTATAAGGAAGAAAGTAATATAAAAAGAAGAGAGAGGGTAGCGGGGGTGGCTCAGTTGATTAAGCATTTGCTTTTGGCTTGGGTCATGATCCCGGGGTTCTGGAGTCGAGCCCCTCTTTGGGCTCCCTGCTCAGTGGGGTGTCTGCTTCTCCTTCTTCATCTGTCCCTCCTTGTGTACTCTTGCTTGCTCTCTCTCTTAAATAAATAAATAAAATAATTAAAAAAAAAAAAAAAGAGAGGAAAAGAATGAACATAACCAAAAGGAGAATGGTCAGGTTGAGTAGATGGTGAATTCTAGCAAAGACTGCCTTGGTCACTGCTTTTCTAATTTTTATATATTCTTCAGTCTTTTTATTCATGTTATAATTTTTGTTGTTTCAAAATACTGTATTTGTAAAATCATTTATAAAATCATCGTAGCTGAGATATACTTAAAATATACTTTTTTGTAATATACTAAAGTTAATTATTTGGTAACTTGAAGAGTAATTTAAAAATACATTCTTAGCTAACCAGGAAAAGTAATTTTGGATGCTAAAATTTGAATATCTTTAAAATAAAAATAAAGCACACTGTCAAATTTCCAAAGCTTTCAAAATCTTAATTTTTCTTCAAGATTTGCAGTGGGGATCTTTTTTGATGTTCTGCACAATCTATCACTGATGCATTATCCCCATGAGGTAGATCTTACTTAACTTTTCATGAATAACAACACAAAACACAGAAAGTTGAATGGTGATCTTAGGTCACAGAATATGAAACAATCAGAATGGTATTTTAGGGTTGTTGGCTTTCCTGCCTGATTAATTAGAGTCTTTTATGTGGTCTTGGTTAAGGAGAAATTGAAAAGTACACATGTGTAGGGTCTAATTGCTGCATATTAGTTATTTTCAGACCAAAGGAATTGCAAGCTTCCAGTTCCTCTTACTATGTTTGTATAAAATATCTCTGTAAATCAGCAATGCCTATTTTATCCAGTCTCCGTCAAATCAAATATGATCCCTATACTTTCCCATTTGTGTTTGAAGATACAGCAAAAGTACTCATTATTATAGTATATATTGAAGTGAAAAGTAGCATATAATTGTATGCATGCCTAATAGAGTTGAAATAAAGGCTGTGAAATTCAAGAATAATTGGAAAGATTGATATGTTCTTCCCTACCATGTATTTGTAGTATTTGTTTAAGGCCTAACACTCTTGGTTTAGTCCCATAGTAAAGAATTCATTAAAAGTTGTAGGATTTCTCAATTGCTCCTAAGTAAGATATATGAAAAGCACTTTTCAGATAAATACTATGGAAAGTTAATAAAAAAAGAGGCTGTTTTCTCACACTGTGTCCTCTGATTTCAATTTCATTTTCATCTTCCTTTTTTCCCCTTAATTTAATTTCAGAGGGTTGCTGAAGTATCAAGCTAATTTAGATACCCACCCTCCTGGCTGCATCAATCTTAATGGAACCCGGTACCAGAATGTTCACTTACCAGACCACAGCTTGGAACATTTTCATGAATCTTTCTCTGGAGGACTTTCAAAACCAGATGAACTTACCAAAAACAGATCTGTGAACATTTGTATGGAAGAGCCCAGATTTCAAGCTAATTTTCCACAGGTCAGATTAATTTTACATCTTTGATGGTCTCCTCAAAGTCCATATTTTCATAATTATTGATCAGCATTGTATTTAAACACATTTTGAAGGTTTATAAAGGAATTATAAAACATTTCAGGATGTTTCAACTGTGAGATAGCACCTATTTTTCCATTAAAGGCAGCTGGTAGGTCAAGGAAAAAGACCTATGATATTACAGAATATAGAAAATTCCTCTTTAAATGGCCATACAGTCTTTGCATTCTGTGACACTGAATGCCAAAAGAGAAGTGACAAAGATATTTTCCCTATCCATGAGAAACGTAGGTTGAGTAATAAAAGCAATAGCGAAAGAACTAATACTAATTGTAATTATTATTATGGTATAGCATAATATTATGGTGTGATATTATGTATATAATAAATGATAAATCATAAAATCAATTTATTGAATGCATGGTATCATCTGCTAGGTACTGTACTAAAATGTATTGCATGCATAATTTCTTTTAATATTCACAATAGCCCATTGAAGCAATTACTATCATCCTTAATTTTCTGATGAAGAAATTGTGACTTAAATACATAAAATACCTTGAGCAAACTCTACAACCTAATATAGGCAGAAGTAGAGTCCAAAACTAGGTCTTTGACTAAAACGCTTGCTCTTGGAAAACTTCTTACTCAAATACCCAGCAAGTGGTTCCATAAGGGCCCTAATCTTCCCATGTGGGTATGGGAACTTCCCATGTGGGTATGGGATCTACCCATGTGGAAATTAATACTCTTTGCCTATGGGACAGTGATGTCAAATGTCTCTTTTCAGAAGGGAAGAAAGAAGAGTCCAAAAGTAGATTGAATTTGTAGATGACTTTGGAATGAATATGTTAGTCTTGTGTTTATTTATAATAATAATCCTCTCGGTTTCTCATAGACTTCACAATTTCACAGATTTCTTGGCTTCACACAGTGCTCTCTGTTAGGCAGGACAGGTGTTGTGACTTCCGTTTTACTTATGTGGAACTTAATGCTCGAAGGGTAAGTGCCTGTCCCAAAGGTGCAAGCCTGCTGCATTACAGGGCTTGTCTTGAGATGCCTACTACCACAGAGCAACTAGCTAAATATCAGGAAGAGGCATGATCCACCTGTGTGAAAGGAGAAAGATCTGAAATAGCTATGTAAACAAGGTTTTAAAAAGTAACCATTAAAATAAGTTTGGGTCAGAGGCCCCTCAGTGATGGGGGAAAGATGGTGTGCAGTTCTAGGAAAAGGGTTGGTCACACAGGACAGGCTTCTGTACTTCTGAGCATATGCAGTGGGTTATCCTGGGATCGGGGCTATCCATCCAGCATGCATGCAAAATCTTCACACTTTCCAAATTCTATATAATACCTTCTGTGCATATTATTTTTATTATATAAAAGTAAGTTGTAAGCAACATGCTTAGGATATCCTATATTTTAAAATAATTCTTATACATATTTTGTATTGTATATGCATTATGTATGTGTACATTATGCACGTATATTATGTGCATTAAAAATAGCCCAGGTTGAGTAAAAGGTATAGCATAAGAACAACAGTCAATGATATTGTAATAGTTATGTAATAGGACAGATGGTAACCATACTTTAGTGAACATAGGATAATGTATAAACTTGTCAAATCACTAAGTTGTACACCTGAAACTAATGTAACACTGGGTCAACTACACTCAAGTAAAAAGTAAATAAATAGATAGATGTAAAAAAAAAGAAAAAACTAAAAAAAACCTTACCTGATATTTTGAAGAATTCTAGTTACTCTTGGAAATGAAAACATTTTAATACCTTAAAATAAAAACAATCATACATATATCAAGGATTTTCTTTTTTTTTCTTTAAACAAATATTGGACTGGCACATTTTTTTCTAAAACCGTCTTCAGATTTATTTGAGCATTTAACTTCCCTGTCTTTTCTTTTTAGATGAAGATATTTTATATACATTCATTATGTATTCTGTATGCACAGGAATAAATTTGAAACAAAGTAGACATACCTATTGATGTGTCACATTACATTTTATTTTTATATTTAGTTTTGTTTGAATAAGTTGCAGTGAGCATCTGATTTTTTAAAAATATTTTATATATTTATTTGACAGAGATCACAAGTAGGCAGAGAGGCAGGCAGTGGGTGGGGAAAGCAGGCTCCCCACTGAGTAGAGAGCCTGATGTGGGGCTTGATCCCAGGACCCTGAGATCATGACCTGAGCCAAAGGCAGAGGTTTTAATCCACTGAGCCACCCAGGCGCCCCATTTAAAAAAAAATTTTTTTCATTTTATTTTTTTTCTTTTCAGTGTTCCAGAATTCATTGTTTATGCACCACACCCAATGCTCCATGCAATATGTGCTCTCCATAATACCCACCACCAGGTGCAACTCCCCATCCCCCTCCCCTCCAAAACCCTCAGTTTGTTTCTTATTTTTTATTGGTTTTTCTTTGCATTTTATCATTTAAAATATAGATTATAATACCATTATTGTAATGTATGAAATTAACAATTGAGCAGGATATAAATATTTCTACAACACAAATATTTTTTTAAGTATGTTTTAAAAATTCTCCATCAGACTTGGCTTTGGATTTCTGGACCCCTGTGCCTATATTGTGCTGAAAGACTTTACAGGTGTATCCGGAGCAATAAACCAGTTACCATCATCTCGGTCATAAGTCATCCCTCAGATGTCATGGAAATCCGAATGATCAAAGAAAACTTTAAAGCAAGACCTGGCCAGGTGAGTCAGTGTTCAGCAACTTTTATATATGTATGTATTTATTTTAATTTTTTTAAAGGGGGAAGGGGCAGAGGGGGATGGAGAGAGAGACTCTTAAGCAGGCCCAGTGCAGAGCTGGACACTGGGCTCGGTCTCACAAGCCTGAGATCATGACCTGAGCTGAAATCAAGAGTCAGGTGCTTCACTGACTAGCCCCCTAGGCACCCCAAATTCTCTATCTTTATATAATTTTTAAAAAATTAGTATTCATGCCATCATTAGAATACTGTACTTCTTTTCTGGTCATTTAAAAATTATGTTTGTTGTTTTTCAGTATATTATTCTACATTGTCCCAGTGTGTCTGCATTAGAAAACCATCCATTTACCCTCACAATGGTAAGAAACTTGTTTTTGATTCTTAAAATTTTTTAGAGTGACATGCAACTTTTTCTTTCGTGCGTATATTCTACCTTATCCTAAAAATCATTCAGGGTCATCACAATATCCTAAATGTTTAAGCATTTTTTTATACAAAGTAATAATATCTGTTCAGAAACATTGTAGCTCTTTATTATTTTTGGACACTACAATTCAGGAAGCAAAATATTAAAATGTATTAAAACCTAATGATTCAAAATGCAAAAAATTTCCTGGGTATTTATATTTTTTCTTTTATGAAATTGTACCAAAATATATTATGTATGTTTTTTTTTTAGAGAGATAGAATTTAATGGCAAAGAGGGTACTCTGAGTTGAGGTGGGAGTGTAAGAAAATCCAAGCAGTGTTTAGAAAAGAAAAAGCCCATTGTAATTGGTGCCCAGACTGTGTGTGAGGGAGGAAAAGGAGAATAAAATTGAAAAAGCAAAATGGATAAATAATGGGTGGGGGACAGATGTAGCTAAGTAATGGCTTCACCAAATATTTTTAGCTTATCAGACATTGTTTAACATTCTTTTTTGCTTTAGAAATATAGCGTGAGCTTATTATTAAAAAGTAAACAATTTACCTTTTCTCATTTCCCCCACTTTTTAATTCTCTTTCTTCTCCAGAATTTGGCATATATTCTTCTAGACATTTTCCTATGTACTTAGACATATATAGATGTTTGACATTCATTTGCTACATCATTTGGTTTATAATTTGCTCTTTTCACTCAGCAATATATCATGGACAACTTTCCATGTTACTATATTTGCATATGCTTCATTCTTTTTTAATGACTGCCTAATATTTCACAGTAGGATATACTGTAATTTATTTAATATTTCCCATTGATGATGGAGACTTGAGATTTTTTTTCCAATTTCTAGCAAAAGTAAGAACAGGACCCACATGTTTAAATATATGCTTAAGATATGCAAATAAAATTGAACAGATGGGGGGACAGAAAAATCACTGGGTGCTTAAGTGCTGGAATGTAGGGGTGGGACTATGCCGGGAATGGCAACCACTTTTTTTTTTCAAGATTGATTTATTTATTTGAGCGAGGCCAGACAGGGGCAGACTCTGTGATAAGCATGGAGCCCAACGTGGGGCTCAAGCTTGTGACCCCAAAATCACGGATGGAGCCAAAACAAGAGTTGGACACTTAACCGACTGTGCCACCCAGGCTCTCCAAGAATAGCAACCGTTTTCAGATTTGATGTGTTAGGTTGAAAACTTAAAAACCTTGGCCATGTTACTTCATCTTTCTGTGCATTTGTTTCCTCAGAGTAATATTGTGATAATCTATTCCGAGGTATGTCATGTGTTTTAGTGAACTCCCACAAGTAAAGCATATAGAACAAAGCCTGGAACATAGAAGGTGCAAGGTACATGTAAATATATGCTAACAATTATTATGATTTTTATTTTCATTGTGAATTTGCCCCTCGAGAACATGTGCTTGTGAAGACAGGCCCCCAAAAATCTATATTTAAGGGATAAAAGAAACAGGAAGGAAGTGTCAAGTGGTTGGAGAAAAAAACCAGACATGATTTGTTCAACAGCATTTCTTTAAAGGAAAAATATGTTTTTGCTTCAATTCTTTCAAATTTTTCATTCTGTTTATAGGTAGCAAACTTATTTATAGCGATTAAGGAAAGGTGGTTTAGCATCTAGTGAAATGATCGACAGCATTCCATTTTATCAAGAAAGATGGCAGCACTGACTTACCTTGAAGAAGATATTAACTTACCATTGTTTCTTCAATCTGAAGATAGATGAGTATTGTCCAGACACCCTTTCATCTGGAGCCATGTGGGTGGCTAGCTAGAGTGAGAGGGGAAATGTGTTGTTATGAGGAACAGTGAAAACTTAGTTGCCCTCATGGGCTTCAAAGACAGGACCTCAGAGTCCAGGACCCAGCCATCACCAGGAGCCAAGTAGGTATATCATGCCCTTCACTGCTCTAGGATGTGCATGCCCTACAATGTGGTTTAATATTGTCCTAGTTCCAGGAGACCTTAGGATTCTTGGCAAATAAATATGACAAACAAAGCTGCTTGTGGGATGTTTCCGCTGAATCATGAAGGCATTCTCACACAATCTCATCCACTGTCGTCAGAAGCACCGTGTTTGGTTTTGGTAGTTGGAAGATACATTTCCGTTTCTCTGACTGCATGCATCCCATAAACATGAAGTTAGTAACTTTAAAGACAAGGGGAAGAATGCAACAGGGAGAAAGTGTGCATGTATGTTTGTCCTTAAGTAATTTAAAGAGTTTGGACTACTCTTGGGGTCATATGAAATTTACTTCTGAAGTTAATCTTTCCTTGTGTGAGGCTCTGTTTTTTCCCAGCTTTAGTGAGGTGTAATTGAAAAATGAAAAACTGTATACATTTAAGGTGTGCGACTTGAGACTTTAGTTTGAAAATAATTTCTTCACCACAGCATTAAATAGAGAATATGAATAAAAAAGGAAGGTAGCTGCTGAATGCTAAATACAGAGAAGAGAGGATTTTTTGTTTTTTGTTTTTTGTTTTTACAAACATATTTCCCAACGTACGCAAAAGTAGAGAGAATGGTGTAATGGACTGCCATGTTCTCAACACCCAGCTTCAGTACAAACAGAGAAGATAGTTTACTTTTTAGCATATATTTTATCACTAAAAGTCTTTATGTTTCTCAAAACAAAAAATCTAAGAATTTTTCTCTTATGGCACATGCCAAGAAGAGGCTTCTAGATCTATTGTCTTTGGGTTGTCCTAAAGTCCTTTCACAGGACAAAAGGAGAAATTCAGAAAAGAGTGGTTTGTAGGACATAAGGACTCCGGTGGCCTGACTTGCTTCCCAAGAAGGTGATTGGGGCGGGGGCTGTGATAGCTCTGTGGCTGGCTGCAGGCAGAGTTGGGAGGAAGGTAAAAGTTGGGGAAGGGGACAGACCAGAGGAAGAGCAACCAGAAGTAGGAGCCAGAGTTGGGAAAAGGAGAGCAATTATGTGTGATGCAAAATGGCAGTGAGTCGTCACACAAAGAGCACGAACTTGACAGCTCAGTCCCAGCTCTGTCACTCATGGGTTCTGTGCCTAGAGGGTGTATCTGGAGGTGGTCAGTATTTGGTACCTACACTCTTGTTATTTTTAATCATCTCAGAATGTTTCCTTTTAATTTTGGATTTTTGCTTTCACTTCTGCAATTATATTTTTTGTTTTGTTTTCTTTATTTTTATTTTTATTTTATTTATTTATTTATTTTTCGAGCGGCGAGGATAAGACATCCAACATGTGGTTTTTCAACCTGAAAATGAAAAATTTGGGGGATATCACAGTAGTCTCACCTTTTGAAAATCTGTCATATAGATGAAGAATTAGACATTTTTCCTTTGGGATCCCAAGGTGTAGAAATAAGACCAATGGTAAAAAGTTTTAGAGAAATATATTTTGATTCAATATGATAAAGACATTTCTAACAGTGAGACCCGTCCAGAAACTTAGAAAGCCACCTCCGGGGCACCTGGGTGGCTCAGTCCTTGGGTGTCTGCCTTCAGTTCAGGTCATGATCCCAGGGTCCTGGGATCCAGCCCCACATTGGGCTTCCTGCTCAGCGGGAGGCCTGCTTCTCCCTCTCCCACTCCCTCTGCTTGTGTTCCCTCTCTTGCTGTGTCTCTCTCTGTCAAATAAATAAAATCTTAAAAAAAAAAAAAGAAAGCCACCTCCCTGGAATGTTGAGAAGGAGCTTTGTGCTAGATCAGGTCTTTTCAACCTTGGCATTATTGACATTTTGGGTCAGATACTTCTTTGATGTGACATGTTGTCCTGTACATTATAAGGTGTTTATCGACATTGGTAGCCTCTATCCACTAGCTGCCAACAGTACCCCCGACTTGTGACAATGAGAAATATCTCCAGACATTGCCAAATAACCCTGGAGGGGCAGAATTGTCAGCAGTTGAGAACCATGATGCTCGATTAGTAGTTGCCCAACACAGCTTACAGTGCCCTTAGAATAGTTCTTCCATGGTTCTTACAGTGCTCTCGATGAGAAGGGAGAATTTAGGAGGTGGTAGAGAAGGTGATGGGTCACAGTGCCTAACTGTGTTCTGGGGACCCAGCTCTCACATCAGTGGGAACACCTCTCTTTCAACTAGCCTGCATATGAGGGTTCTACTCATGGATATCATCACCTAAAAAAAAAAAAATTTTATTTTTTTCTACTCAACTAAAATCCTTTTTGGAGTTCCATAGAAATTATTTTGGCTACTCTGAGCTCCGGAATACCATCATGCGGTAGAGAGCTTTGAAAGAGAATTTGAGTCATTTTCAAATTCATAATTATTTTCCATATTTGTAGTCATCCATTCCCAAATAATAGGGTTTGGATATGAATTGGAAGAAAAGGTAGGATATGGGATGCCTGGTGGCTCAGTCGGTTAGACATCTGCCATTAGCTCAGGTCATGATCCCAGGGTCCTGGGATTGAGTCCCACTTCGGGCTCCCTGCTCAATGGGGATGTCTGCCTCTCCCTCTCCATTTTCCTCTCCTCCTGCTCATGCTGCCTCTCACTCTCTCTCTCTCAACTAAATAAATAAATAAAATATTTAAAAAAAAGAAGTTCAGTTGGAGCGCCTGGGTGGCTCAGTGGGTTAAAGCCTCTGCCTTCGGCTCAGGTCATGATCCCAGGGTCCTGGAATGGAGCCCCACATCGGGCTCTCTGATCGGAAGGAGTCTGCTTCCTCCTCTCTCTCTGCCTGCTTCTCTGCCTACTTGTGATCTCTGTCAAATAAATAAATAAAATCTTTAAAAAAGAAAAAAAAAGTTCAGACAGCGGTATAAAGATAAAACAAGTTATTCAAGAGCTAAAATGATGTAAGAATATTCTCTGATATTTGAACTTTTTGTCATATGAATGAAAGATTATTATTTTTTTCCCTATGGAATCCTAAGATGTGAGAATGGGAACAACAGTACATTATTCT